GTACAGGTCTTCGATGGTTGAGAAGAATTGATAGTGAGAAACAAAAACATGGACTAGCTTTGTTACTAGCAGAAAGATTAATATGGAAAGAAGATTGGAGTTGTTATACTCATTTTGATTCTCCAACAAAACCTATATATGATCATTAATCCCCTAATACAAGCCACAAAACTGGGCATTACCGAATTGGTCACTGCAATCTTAAAAGCACGACCTCAAGTTTCTGATTCACTAGACGAAAATGGAAGGAACATTTTGCATATAGCAGTGGAACGAAAACATTTACGTATATATGAATATTTGAAGAAAAAACTTGGTCATGACAAGGATAGAATGTTGGCAGAAGTTGATAAATATGGGAACAACATACTTCATTTAGCATCAAGTTTGGGAATTCCATCTACTCACTCTTCAGTTGTGCCAGTGGAAGAGTTTAATACTGATATAGCACGTGAGATGTGTTGGGACATATATTGGTTAAAGGTACAGTTTTCGACCTTGAGTAATTATTATTATTTTAATTTGGTACATGAACGACTCTCTGAAGATTGACCTAACAAAAAGCTTCTTGAATAAGCGAATTAGGTTACAATTCAAAATACCTACTACTACGTATAATGAATAGACAAACTGTAGAACTTCAAACACAAAGACTTGGTTTTTCGGCTTGATATATATCTTACGTACACTGAGGATTGTTTCTTGCTCTTGCTCACTTAATTAATTTTCTCAATGTAGGTGTATATAATACTGCAAGAAACAAACTAATAGGAGTTTATATATACAGACCAATGTTAGTAGCAAGGCTTGGTGCGTAAGCATGATCAAGATAATACTATCTGTTATGCTAACCCTAGAGAAAGTATAAAAACATAAGGCTTTCCTTAAACAACTTCTAACGCGATTCTACTTCATTATAAAACAGTACTCTTTATTAGCATTTCTTTTTGAATTTAGGCGGCTACTAGGTCATTTATAGCTTAAGTAAAAAGAAGTTTGGTGCACTCTAGCTATAAGCGGAGTCCGGGGAAGGGCCTGACCACAAGGGTCTATTGTATGCAGTCTTACCCTACATTTTTGTAAGAGGATGTTTCCATTGCTCAAAACCGTGATTTCCTGGTCACATGACATCAACTTTACTAGTTTACGCCAAGGCTCCTCTTCCATTTATAGCTTAAGTGAAATATTTAATTAGGATTATAATATATTTAGTGACTCCTATAGTTTAATTATGATTATATATGAATCAAGCTTGTTAAAAGAACCATACGTAAGATCCTCGGTTCTTCAACTAGCTAGTAACCAACCAACCAACCATATACTGCTACATTGTTTGTTTATCAGCAAAACCAAAGCTCAACACTCTAAGCACCTCTTTGTTTTATTTTCATCTTAATTAAAAAAATGGCATATATAAAGTAGTAGTCGATCCATATAATGAATAAAATGAGCTTGCATGCATCATCCTCAGCATACAAGGATGGATTGCCACCCACATCTAAGGTACGTCCGAAATAGAGATGGGAAGACAGCTGATGAATTATTCGAAGAGAACCACTTGCGTTTAAGAAAAGCAGCACAGAGGGAGAGTATTGAAATGATCAACAGCATCATAGTTGTGGCAACCCTTTTGTGTACAGTGAATTATGCAGCATTGTTTACATTACCAGGAGGTTTCGATCAGAATTCTGGTGTAGCTGTTCTCGACAAAGACAACACCTTTTACAAGTTTATAGTGGTCGTTTATTCAGCAATATTTTTTTCCTTCATAAGTTTGGCAGCTCTGTTATCACTTCAACGTTCTGCTTTCTACGCTGAAGAATTCTATATTTCTTTGCCTTTAAAAGCTAGTATTGCTTCTATTTGTTTGATGTTGGCTGCTGTTTTTACTATCACTGCTTCTGCACTAGCATTAGTTCTTGAAAACAAGAGGGTTAATGTATTGGGAAAAATTGTATGTAAATATAAAGATGACGTGTCGAATACGTGTCGAAACACGTAGACTGGTCAAATGGTCAAAGAATTACAACTAGCCAAGAGACACGAGTTGCAACAGATACGAGCAAATGACAGAGGAAGAGGCACGGGCAGGAATACAAATAACCCAGCACCCGTACCTATCTAAGTCATTTATGTCCGAGAATCAAAAGGAATGAATCTGACAATAGAAAAGAGTGCAGATACGGCATTTAATAGGCATTAAATGTGGAATACGTTAAAGAATTTGTATTGAATATAATGATTATGTAACGTAGCATTAAATGTCTTTAATTACTCATAATAGCCTCATTATAATTTGGGCAAAACGTATATCTCCAAGATATCTATAAAAGGGAAACATCTAATCAATTGTGGGGACACGAAATACTATTGATATAAACTTTGGTTTACTTGTTTTCTCTTGATTACTCTCTTGCTACCTAAATAACTTCCTTTTATACACTCTTTTGATTATCAGTAACTCGTGTTCTTCTAAATTCTAGCTTTGACTAAAATTTCATTTTTGGTTAAACAAATTGGTTCCGTTACCGGGAATATGATAATCTATTTTCTTTTCGCTTAAATTTCCTTGTTGCATCAACTATGTCGAACAACAATGACAACATTCAAGGAAACCAAGAAAACCAAATAAACCAACAACTTCAGAGAGACCCTCAGTATAATAACGCACTGATTATTTCTCCACAAGGCTCTCCTCGGCGATCTCGTGAAGGCACTCCTAAGGGTCTCATACTGATGGACAAGCTCAATTCGAAAATGTTGAAGCTATGGATGAGGCTTTGCAAAAACTTATTACCGCACAGGTCAATAAAGCCGTTCAGGCCTTGGTTAGCCAGTTACCTGCTGCACCCCCCACGCCTACTCCAAATAACAACACTCTGGAGAAACCTCGTTCCGGGCTTGTTAATTCAGGCAGCGGTGGAACCCCCAGTGAATCGCATGAGGGAGAAACAGGTACTTTAGCTAAATCAAATTTACAAAACTTAGTACTAACCTTGCAGAAACAGCTCAAGGAGCAAAGTGAGCGCATAGAGCAGATACCCGTGGTGCCGCCCATAATCAAAGGGGTAGATATGGATAGATATTCATAACAACCCTGGAAGCTTAGTGCTGCTCCACTCCCAATTCCAAAAAAGTTCAAAATGCCTGATATTCCAAATTATGATGGAACAACAGACCCACGAGATCACGTGACTGCATTCACGGCGGGTGTAAAAGGCAACGATTTGACTAAGCAGGAGATTGAATCAGTATTAGTCAAAACATTTGGTGAAACGCTCACCAAAGAAGCGCTAACATGGTATTCTCTTTTACCCGAAAATTCTATAAATTCTTTTGTTGAGCTTGCAGATTCTTTCATCAAAGCACACTCGGGAGCTCAAAAAGTAGAGAAAAGAATGGAGGATATTTTCAAAATCAAGCAAAGGGACTCAGAACTGCTTAGAGAATTCGTGGACAGATTTCAACGAGAAAGAATGACATTGTCGCGTGTACCTGACAACTGGGCAGCTATAGCTTTCACAAGTAATTTGAATGAAAAAAGCTCGGAAGCTACGAGGAGGCTCAAGGAAAGCCTTCGAGAATTCCCAGCTACAACGTGGAATGATGTTTATAATAGGTATAACACGAAGCTGAGGATTGAGGAAGATACTGTTCCACGATTTCAAAAAGAAGAAAAGGTAAGTTCGAGACGTGCGGAGACCGAAAAAAGATCCGATAAAAATAGGTACGAGCCTTACATGGGACCTGCGGGAAAGGATTCACGGTCAAAGCAGGATAATCAAAGGTACGATCACAGATCAAGAAACAGAGAATCAGGTTCTTCATCAAGATTCAGGAACGAGCGAAATAACTATGAGTCACGAGATAATGATAGAAATTTAAAAGCGAAATTCGGTGGTTACAACTTTAAAGTCAGCACCTCCGAGCTCGTAGCCGTTTTGAGAAGCATGAGAGATAAGGTTCGATGGCTAAAGGAAATGAGATCGAACCCAAAGAGGCGCAACCCTGACCCATTGGTGCGAGTTTCATAATGACCACGGACATAAAACAGTAGATTGCAGATTTTTACAAAGTGAAGTTGATCATTTATTAAAACAAGGGTATCTTACTGAGTTGTTCAGTGAGAAAGGCAAGCAAGCTTACATGAAGAACAGGCAAGAGCCTCCAAAACCACCTTCTCCTAAAAGAACTATCAACGTTATAAGTGGGGGTAAAGACATCAAGGGTATATCATATACTGCAACTAACAAAATTTCCAAAGTAACAATTACCCAAGGGAAACGGGTGCAGCATGTTTTAGAGGAAGACAACATTACATTCAATGACGCAGATGCAGATGGCGTATTAATCCCTCATAACGACGCATTGGTAATATCTTTAATTATACATGATGCTAATGTGAAATAAGTTTTGATTGATCCAGGTAGTTCCGTGAACATTATTTTACTGAGAGTATTACGTGAGATACAAGCTGAAGATAAAGTGATACCAAAGGAACATACTCTATCTGGATTTGATAATTCTAGTGTCCTCACGAAAGGAGAGGTAACACTCACCACATTCGCTGAAGGAGTCGTTAAAGATACAAAGTTCCACGTGGTAGATATGGAGATGACTTACAACATGATTCTTGGGAGAACATGGATCCACAAAATGGATGTTGTTCCTTCAACCTTGCATCAAATTATTAAAATTTCCATCGCCATGGGGAATCTGTCAAATTCGTGGAGATCAACATACAACCAGGGCTATCAACTCTGTTGCAGATACAAACACGAGAAATGAAGGTAAATAACAATCACAAAAGGCAGTTGAGGTCACCACAACACAAACCTCAACTGAACAAGGGCAAACAGATGTAGATTCAAGGCCTGATACCATTCAAGAACCAGAAGAGAATGAAAATATCAAAACAACAATAGAGGAATTAGAGCATGTCGTGTTATTTGCTCAATGGCCTGATAAAAAAGTCTATGTTGTAGCCAATCTTATCCAAGATATGAGAGGTAAGTTAATTGAATTTTTGAAAAACTAACGTGGATTGCTTTACTTGGTCCCAATCTGACATGACAGGAATACCCCTGGAGGTTATGACCCATAAACTAAATAAAGATCCATCATACCCTCCTGTCAAGTAAAAGAAAAGAAATCAAGGAACTTTCAAGAATCAGGTGATTCAGGAAGAAGCCCGAAAATTGCTAAAAATTGGTTCCATTCGTGAGATAAAATATCCTAACTAGTTAGCTAACACTGTTGTAGTTCCAAAGAAGAATGGTAAGTGGCGGGTTTGTGTAGATTACATAGATCTTAATAAAGCCTGCCCTAAAGATTCTTTTCCACATCCACACATAGGTCAACTGATTGATGCAACTGCAGGTCACGAACTATTAAGTTTTTTAGATGCATATTCAGGTTATAATCAGATTAAAATGGATCCGGGAGATGAAGAAAAAACTTCATTCATAACAGACATG